CAGTCACATATAGTAAGGTATGACAATAATCCTCCAGCTATTCAAAAACAGCAATGACACTCAAGAGAAGCTCAGATTGAACATCCACTCATTGAGTGTGAGTGAGCTTTTAGAATACCGGCGTTAAACTATAAGAAAATGCCTGTTACACACTTCTAGCATAAAGTTGCCATCAAACTCTCTTTAGAGGCACTTTTTGCCATCTTGGCCGGTCGACTGATATATAATTTTAGGAGTTTCGTATAAAAGAACATGAGATTTTACATCAGTTTTGCCATCATAGTAATTTAATGGGCAAAATTTTAAAGTGTTTAAAGTTTCGGCTATAAAGCAAAAATCAGATGTGGTAACACATATACGCCCGTATTCTAAAAGCTCACTCACACTCAATGAGTGAAGGTTCAATCTGAGCTTCTCTTGAGGGTCGTTGCTGTTTTTGAATAGCTGGAGGGTTAGTGTCATACCTTACTATGTGATTACTCACCCTCCAGCTATTCAAAAACAGCATTAACACTCAAGAGAAGCTCAGATTGAACCTCCACTCATTGAGTGTGTGTGAGCTTTTAGAATACGGGCGATAATCTTGTTCACCAAGACTTAAACTATAAGAAAATGCCTGTTATATACCAGCTACTAGCCTAAAGTTTCCATCAAACTCTCTTTAGAGACACTTTTTGCCATCTTGGCCGGCCGACTGATATATAATTTTAGGAGTTCTTTTACTGTCGTTCCAATTGAAGTGTTGCTCAAATATTGATTCAATACATTACCTCGGGCTGACCAATTCATTTGATCAAGTTCCTCGAGATATTCATACACTTCCTGTGAAAGAGCCAATTCCAAGTATTTGATCATTTCTGGTCACTTCCTTTCTATTTATGATTGGTTAGTTGCACAAACAACAAAGGTGATTGGTGCATTCAAACTATTCAACAGGAAGTTTACAATTATACTAGGAAGTGTATGAATATCTCGAGGAACTTGATGAAATGAATTGGTCAGCCCGAGGTAATGTATTGAATCAATATTTGAGCAACACTTCAATTGGAACGACAGTAAATGAGACAAACTAATTTTTTATTACCTCTAAATATTTTTACTCGTAGGACTTTGTGTTTGGCGTTCCAGTTATTGATACAAACAAACGAATCCTGGCTCTATCAATGGGCAACCACGAGCTGTACATGCGTCGTCGTAGACCCGATCCTGTGGAAATATTACAAATGAAAGCAGAAGCAAAACATGCACGAAATTTGAAGCGAGAAGAGAGGTAAGCTGTGGTTGTATGAGTATAGGATAGAGCTAAGTTTTCGTATTCGCCCTGGGCCAGTGGGCCTGTTCATACGAATCCATCATACCATTAATTCATTAAAATATGTTTCTTCTTTTTTGCATGACACTATACCATTGGCTTAACCAAAATGATCAGTTTTGAAGTATGAATTTGTAGGGTGAAACGTATTAAGGCTGATTTCCACTGTTGCGTTTTTCGTACGCACGTACACGCACGTAAAACTTTGAATCCTATTTTTTAAATATTTTACAAATAAGTTAACAAATGCATACTAAAACTTGCGAAACACTGAATTCTGTTGCTTTATTTATTTGGTTATTTCATAAGTAACATTTAAACGGATTTAAAGTTTTACGTGCGTATACGTACGTATGAAAAACGCAACAGTGGAAATCAGCCTTTAGTTTCAGTGCTGTAAGTAAGTAACGAAATTACAAGTAATCGTTACTTTTTGAGTAACTGTAACGGTAACTAGTTACCTTGTAACTGTAACGAGTTACATTTTGGCCTAAAATGAAACGATGACGCGTTATTTTTATAGCCAACGTTTACGTTACTTTTTTCGTTACATTCTCGCGGTTAAAACTTACAATTCACCTCGCAGTTCTCGAAATTCTCCTCACCCGTTTCTACGACAACGTATGCTTCAGTGCTTAACACAGCTGAGAGATCCATTAGTGGTAAGGTTACATAACGTTTACAAATAATTAACGTCAATCTGCTGACCACTAATCATTTCTAAGTAACTTGTAACTAGTTACAAAAATATTGAAGTGATTTTGTAACGGCAACTAGTTACATTTTTTTAAGTGCAACTTTTACCAGTAACTAGTTCCTTTTTTGGGAATGTAACTGCATGTAACTGTAACTAGTTCCAAAAAATGAGTAACTTTTACAGCACTAATTAGTTTTGAAAGTGTTATGGGTTTCTTTTGTGTCCAGTTTTAATTAAGCGTACCTTTAAGCGTGCCTTTAAGCGTGATTTTGAAAGCAGAGTAAGGCTCGACTGACCATTGCTCATTGGTGTAATTGTTCTTTTACAATACGATATTAATCGGCAATGATCTTCACTAATTTTTCAGTTACATATGACATGTGTTTCACAGAAATATATCTGCCTATCATCAAGCAGTTTACACATTGTTACTTTAATTAAACAAAATTTAAAAATCCTTAATAATTCATGAAGAAAATTCAAAAGAAATGAATGTTTAAAGTGCCTATATCACTTGCGGGACCTTTATGGATTCGAAAGGTGCGTAAAAAGTTAGTTACAGTCGAACCTCTATTAAACGGCCCTCCATTAAGCGGCCACCCTCTATTAAACGGCCACATATCGAAGTCCCGAAAATTTTGTAACACAAATACTATAAACTATTCCTCTATTAAACGGCCACCTCTATATTAAGCGGCCGCGGCCACCCAAAGAGCGGTCCCAAATGATGTTTTATGTCAATTTTTACCTCTATTAAACGGCCAGCCTGCAGGATTTTTAGGTTTAGATATAGGTAATGAGAACCGTATTGGTGTCCTAGTAATAAATTTATGCCACAATAATCCCTAAATGTTTGTTCAAAAGGTTTAGTGTGAAATATGATAGTGTGATGGCCTCGTGTTGTTGGCACAATGTATGCCTGTGAAAAAATGTTATAGTAGATGAAACTGAGAATTAAAGATAAAATCACTATTGTATTCTGTGTTTCATAATTAAAAATAGACATTTGACTATACGCCCAGGGTCTATTATTTGCGTACCTCTATTTAGCGACCACCTCTATTAAGCGGCCACAAAGCCGATCCCCGAGGGTGGCCGCTTAATAGAGGTTCGACTGTAATAAGTTCAAAAGATTTTTTTGATTTAGTGCAGTAATTTCGAAGATACAGGCCTCTAAACTGCCTACAGTTCCTGAGTCCCAGGCTCCTATTGGCAGTGGACAGTTTCGAAAAAGGCCAAATTCAATATAATAGCCGTGTTTAGACCCCAGGAGCCTGGGACTCAGGAACTGTAGGTAGTTTAGAGACCTGTATCTTCGAAACTATTGCACTAAATCAAAAAAATCTTTTGAACTTATAATTATTAACTAACTTTTTACGCTCTTTTCAAATCCATAAATGTCTCACAAGTGATATAGGCACTCTAATCAATGTTTGTAGATCGGATAAAGATTTGTCCTGATTTACATAAACTTCAGCTTTAATCCTTTCGGCTTAGACAACGTTTACTTTTGAAATTACTTCGCCAATGAAGTCATAAGATGGGTCGTTTTTTTAAGTACGTTAAAACCTCTCATCTTCGGCTCGAGTTTGTATATCAGATAAAGATCGGATGCGAATGTTTCAACTAGTACTTATTATTGGGAACAGTTGGAAATGCACTTTCTCCGAGCTTGTAATTTAAAATGTTAGTGCATGGGTGAAGCCATGAAGGACTTACTTCATTCAACACCAGCCCCCACCCCCAAGGCGTAAAAAAATACCTGTGGTTCCGGTTTCATATCGTAAAAAAATTAGGGTCGGTAGGTCGGAAATAAATTTTTTCTTCGAATATTTTTTTCATGGTTTTACCGGGTTTTTGCTGGGCGATTTGCAGTAGAGTCCCGACATCAATATTAACTAGAGATGCGCATTTCCCCATGGACGAATTTAGGCAATTTGATTCAATAATTAGTGTGACAACAGACGCCATTTTGGCACGCTGTATGAGCAGCCTGCAACCACCTGGAGAAAATAGGGTCGCACGGTCAATCGCGTTGAAAAAATAATAGGGTCGGGCCGGTCGGCAGAAAAAAATAGGGTCGGTCGGGAACCGGAACCACAGGTATTTTTTTGACGCCCAATCGCTGCGTGGTCCCTGAATTTTCCATATCAAGGGACTCGCCTGATCGTGATGGAGATTTTTTGCCGATTTTCATTTTCGACCTATATAATATAGTATTGAATGACATAGTTGGAAAATACAATGTTGTAATTGCTATATTTATATTTTCTAGGTTGACTTTGGTTAGAGAAAGAGGAGAGAGACAGAAAGCTGAAGAAATTAATAAACAACTTGCGGAAAAGGCAAAATCTTTGGAAATGTCTGCACGAGAAACTGCTGAAGGTAATATAAGTATTGATGGTGTATCATAGTATGACATATGGTATGGTATGGAATGGAATGGAATGGTATGGTATGGCATGGCAGCCTAGTCCCAGTCGTTCTGAAGCAAGCGCGAGAAAAAACGTGGATGTAGTACGAGACTGGGATCTAGGTGTGACGTCACCGCAAAAGGTGCATAAGAACGCGTAGCAGATTTCAGTATTTTTAATATGGCGGAAAATTTATTTATACAAATAAGTTTGTAAATACGACAATGTTCGTTGATCATGTTTGATGTCTACATAACCAAATTCAAACTGTATTAAAAATGTGCTCAATTAAAAAAAAATATATACAAATTTACGATACTGAGTCTGAGCAATGGTCGTATAATCGTTGATGTTATTCATATACTCGCAAGTTGTGATCAACACTAGACCATACTGGTATACACAACTACGCTTTCTACTTGACAGGTTTAAGTAGCTGAGGAGATTGGAAATATTCGCCTGACATGACTACTGTGTTGTCAAAACATTTTTGGTCGGAGACTCGGCATAATTTTCAAGCTTCTAGATAGCATTTAATATGGCTTTATATTTTAGTAAACACGAGTCATAGTTAGCCCGTTATTCCATTCTGACTGTATGGTAGCGAAACGTAGCCTATTTCATTGTTCCGACAGCATTAGAGCAAAACTAATGACTTAATTATAAACACAATGGAAATTTCCATAACATTTTCTATTTACAAATGCGATATGCTTGGTAACCAGACCAGGGACCACTTTTTTGAAATCAGGGACCATTTTACCGAAATCTGCTAGGCTCTCTCGCTGAAGCGTTCCGCACAGCACACCTAGGCATAAAACTTTTAAGACTTATTTAAATATATCAAAGCAGCGAATAGAGAGAGCCTGGGACTAGGCTGATGGTATGGTATTTGGAATCATTTTTCCACTGTAGTTTAGAGTACTGACAATTTAAATAAAAACGATTTTCTGATAAGCTCGGCCATATAGTTGGGAGAAGCCGTGCAGATACAGAAAATAATTTTTGACGTTGATCAGCATATAGCGGACAATGTAAAAATTAATGACTCAATTAATTAAGATTTTAATAATTCCCCTGTGGCATTATGGTGTATGCTATGCCATGCTCAGGGACGTCGCTACTCGGGGAGGGGGGGGTGTAACACCCCGAATAATTCAAAAGTTGGTCAAAGTTGGTCAAAATGTAAAATATTTGGTTAAAGTTGGTCAAAGTTGCAGGTCCAACTTGGCAACTGCTTGTCAAAGGTTGAGAACAGGCTTGGTAAAGTAGGTAAAATTTGGTAAAATTTGAAATAAAAGAAGGAAAAAACGCACAAAAAAGTTAAAAAAATATTAACCGTAATTTATCATTACTTATTAGAGGGGGATAGCAATGGCCAAAGGCCACGTGTCTGGGGACATACTTCCCAGAAAATGTTTGAAATTTGAAACCCGGAAATGCTATTTCCTGCATTCTGAGCATCCAAATTTGCTCTGAAATCTATGCTACTATACTTGTATTTGAAATACAAGAAGGAAAAAACGCACCAAAAATATAATAATTATTAGTTACAATAATTTATCATTACTTAGTGGTAGTAAAACGTACAATTTAAATCGATTTTGTTAAACAAGGACTAATGATAAAGCCTAAAACTTACTTTCCGTTTATGTATTTGTTATTCTTCGCTGGTTTGTTTGTATAAATTTAGAAAAAAAGGACTTTTCCTGGGGTGGGGGCAAAATGTGATTTCGTGGGGGGGGGGGCACAAGGGGGGACTGGGGGTCATTTGCCCCCCAGCTTGTTTGTTAAAAAAGGCCCTGCTCACTAATGCCTTCCTCTTACAGCTCTGGAACGCGAAAAGAACAACAACTTAGAACTCGAGAGACAGCGTCTTTCGGCCGAGGAGGAAAATGCGAGACAGAAGGAGCGCAGTCGTCAAATTGAACGAGAGAAGAACATGATCACAAGAGAGCTTAGCCAAAAAGAGAATGAAAACGAGTACTTGGTATGTTTTGCAAACTTTCTTAAAGTGGAAGTCAAGTCCGTTCTGCGCATCGGTTCTGCTCATAACAATGTGAGGACCCTCTAATGTAAACATTGCCCAAATTTCGAATGTTTCGAATTTTTCTGAACATAAACTCTATTTCATATTCATTTAGAAGCATAGCGAACCAAAATGGTGTTAGATATTCAGACAACACATCATATTTTAAAAAAATACAGCAGTTCAAAATGTAAACAAACCGTTTGTTTACATACGAACTTGACTTCCACTTCAATTTTTGAGATATTTTAAACGAAATATCTTGCCATCCGCCTCTTGTTTTATAAGTAGCCTACATCTAATTAAATGACGTCACAACCAGGACAAACATTTTAAAAACAAAATATTATCAGTGGAAAGTTTCTACGTGGCTTGTGCTTTCAGTTTAAAATAGGCAATAGTAATAAATAGGATTTAGCATTACACCCGTTTTCAAAATTACGCGACCTACCCGAAAATAATCTCACTTAAAATGTCAATTTTATGTCACACGATCGAACTGCTAAAAATAGCAAACGTAAACAAAAGGCATTGTAAAGGGCCTGTTTATATGATCCGGCCTAGACGGGACGGGACGTTTTCATCCCGTGGACAAAATTCACTACCGGGATGAAGGCATTTAAGCGCTTGACGTCATATTTTTGTTGCAATAAGGGCATTTACGCATGCTCAAAAGGGAAAGTTCATCCCGCCTAGCCGGGATGAAGTGTTTATATGGGAATTTTTCATCTCGTTTAGGCGGGATTCAGGCATCTGTTGCCGAGATCCCGTCTAGGCGGGATAAGTGACGGGATCATATAAACACTCTTTAGGATTCATCCCGTCCCGCCTAGCTGGGATCATATAATACCTAAAGAAGAATATTGAACCAAAATGAGGTAGATATACACGCACTAAAAGAAACGACAAACCATCACAACAGAAATCTGTGTCGTGAATAACTTTTAAAGTTTGAAAAAGAACAATTTAGCGTCTAATTTAACTGTGCATCAAACCCGTTTGTGCTAGACTGTAGCGGTAGTATTATGATTTTGTTGTGCTTAAGTTTTGCAATAGTTACTTTTAGATAAGGCAAACAAAGCATATACATAGATAACGAACCACAAAATTCAAAGTTTTAAAGAATTTGAACTTCGTGACCGTGCCGTGACATAAAACTGACATTTCAAACTCTGAACTCTAGCTATTTTCGGCCTGGTCGCGTAATTTTGAAAACGGATTTTGAATAATGTTATCCTATATATAGTTGTGACGTCACGCATATCCAGTTTTAGTACAGA